GCTTGTAAAATAGACAAACCCCATAGGAAATTCGATAACCCAAATCACACTGAACATTTTATGGAGAGGTAAAGCTTTAAAATGAATCCTTGAAGGTAGTGCTTCTTTACATTGAAGCTTAAACTCACAAGTTGATAAGCTGTTACCATTAGTCAACACTTCTATTTTTTTTTTCCTGCTACCAGGGATCGAACTCAGGACCTTGTGCTTGTGAGGCAGGCGGCACACCACCGAGCTAAATCCCCTGCCCCTAACACTTCTATTTTAATAACAGAAAATGTGCCTTGAAAGGAGACAAAAGAGGAACAGGGCTCAATGACAGGATGAGAGGGTCTGTCTGAGCTACCTTTGAGACCCAGACATGAGGACACTTTTGGAGACAAGAAACTCCCTACAGCCAGGTGTGTGGCAACACTTGGGAGGCTGAGGCAGGAGGATCCCTGTGAGGTTGAGGCCAGCCTGGGCTACATAGTGAGTTCAAGGCCAGCCTGCACTACACACATACATACTCTGTCTCAAAAAAAATAGGGCATACTCATTGAGTCAAGCCCTCTCTGGGAGTAAGTCAATTTTAAACTAGGCATCTTGATGATTTCTTTAAATTCTTCTGGGACACTGAAGAAAATTACACAGTAAGTCATTTCCTCAGGGAACAAAGTCAACTTTTGGTCTGAAAACTATATAAGGTTCACATAAGCAGAAAGTTGTTGAGGCCCTACAGGATCTCTGATCCATGAAAAATGAAATTTCTTTCTTTTTGTTTTCTTCTTTAAAAAAATTTAATTTTTTTTGTTGTTGTTGCTGAATACCCACTCTTTAAGGCAAAGACTGATGTTTACTTTTTCAGTGGTTCAATCTCACTAAAAATATGGAATGCTTCACGAATTTGCTTGTCATCCTTGTGAAGGAGCCATGCTACTCTTCTCTGTATCGTTCCAATTTTTAGTATATGTGTTGCTGAAAGTGAACACTTACGATTTTTTTTTTTTTTTTGCAGGGCTGTAGTCTGGAATTTTTTTCTTCTTTTGAGACAGGGTCTCACTAAGTTGCCCAAGGGGCCTTGAAATTGTGATCTTCCTGCTTCAATCTCTCGAGTGCTGGTATTACAGGAGTGTGACACCATGTCTAGCAAAAATGACATGGTTTTTTTTTGGTGCCGGGGATCAAACTCCGGTCCTTGCGCTTGCGAGGCAGACGGTGGAACCACTGAGCTAAATCCCCGGCCCTGACATTTGTTTTTATAGTATGTTTACCTTGTGAACATAATTTTATATAACAGGAATCATACCGGTAGAATAATACTATACAGCAAGACAGGTCCTTGCCTTGCCTCCATGTTCCTCCCCCGCCCCAGAATACTTTGTTCTAGAAATACAAGTTTATGTTGCTGGGCAGTACTCCTGCCCAATGTACCAAACTGTTTTGTAACTGTTTCTGTTAGCTCCACCCTTTCCAAGAATGTTCTGTTAAACTCCGCCCCTCTCAAGAATGTTCCATTAGCTCTGCCTCTTTCAGGAATGTTCTGTTATCTCCGCCCCTCTCAGGAATGTTCTGTTTAGCTCCACCCCTCTCAGGAATGTTCTTTGTTTTTGTTTTTTTAATTTTATTGGTACAACTGTTTGAACTTTGTGACTTGTCAGGAATGTTCTGTTAAACTCTGTTCCTTTACAAGAATGCTCGGTTAAACTCTACCCCCTTACAAGAATGTTCTGTTAAACTCCACCCTTTACAAGAACGTTCTGTTAAGCTCTGCCCCTATTAAGAATGTTCTGTTAACTCCACCCCCTTGCAATAATGTTCTGTTAGCTTCGCCCTTCTCAGGAATGTTTTATTAGCTCCGCCCCTCTCAGGAATGTTCTTTTATTTATTTTTGCACTTTATTAAATTCTTTTATTGGTACATTGTAGGTATACAACACAATTACATTTCTCTTTAGGAATTGTACCTTTACATAATGCATCTTGGTTCTTATTTTTTTCCCATTCCTAGCCCTCCCTTCCCTATTTACAAAGACTTTATTTCCATTTTTTCCAAGGAATATTCTTTTTTTAAAAATTAATTTTATTGGTACAACTGTTTGAACTTTGTGACCTCTCAGGAATGTTCTGTTAAACTCTGCTCTTTTACAAGAATTCTGTTAACAGGCCAGGGATTTAGCTCAGTGGTTCTGCCACCTGCCTCCCAAGCAGAAGGACCTGAGTTTGATCCCCGGTGCCAAAAAACTCTACTCCCTTACAAGAATGTTCTGTTAAGCTCCACCCTTTACAAGAATGTTCTGTTAAGCTCCGCCCCTCTCAGAAATGTTCCCTTAGCTCCACCCCTCTGCTTCAGTGACCATGCTTCTCTACCTGTAGATATAAGGAGGCTCTCATTTCTGATGAGATGCTCAGACTTCAGAATACGGACTCTTCTAAGCCTGCTGGTGTAATAAAAGTATTTTGGGGGGGCCGGGGATTTAGCTTAGTGGTGTCGCCGGCTGCCTCACAAGCATGAGGTCCTGAGTTCAATTACCGGTTCCAAAAAAATTAAATAAAATGAAGGTTTTTCTCCACTTCTTTGAGTGACCATTGGATTCTCAAGTCTTCAAATTGCGATAGCCATGACCCAGAGCTGCAGTAACACTGAGCTGTGCCTCAGAGCTGTGGTACTTGGCTCTGACACTGATCTGCAACACTTGGCTATGGCACTGAGCTGTTCTACTTTGCCACAACAATATTTCATCTCACAACTAGTTATATTTACTGAACAAGATGGGGTAGATTTTTCAGTATTAATCATGATCAATTGTCATCTTACTGGCTGTATAGTATTCCCACCAGAAACATTCACATAATCTCTCATTTTTATAGACATTGAGGTTATGTTTTGTTTTCCCCTACGGTAAATAATATCTATCATAACTGAAGATTTGCTGTGTGCCAGGCACTGTTCTAAACACTCTGTATATTACAACTGATTTAATCCCCATAGCAAGACTTATGAAGTATATAATTATCCCATTATTGATAGAAAGAAATGAGGTAAGAGAGGTAAATAACTTGCCCAGGTTTGTCCAGGTAGTAAGTAGCTCCAGCATCTATATTATTATCAAAAGCAATGGCCAGGGATTTAGCTCAGAGGTGCTGCACCTCCCTGAGCTCCATCCCTGGTACCAAGAAAAAAAAAAGAGAGAGAAGCAGTGCCCTATCTCTGTGTGGTGATACACACCTGTAATCCCAGTACTTAGGAGGCTAAGGCAGGAAGATCATGAATTTGAGACCAGCCTAGGCTACATAGCAAGACCCTGTCTCAAACAAAACCAAACAAAAACAAAGCAAACTCATTGTCCATTCCCAACCCTTTTCTCTTTGTCCACCTCCACCATTTAACTAGAAAACTCAATTCTATTTTTCTCAGCCTTCTCTTTGGCGGTAGAAGAAGTCAACAAGGTAGGTGCCGAAGTCTGCTGGGAGTTTCTAGCAAATACTTTGGATTTCTTGTATTCTTGAATACAGACTAGATGATTTAAGGTGATGCAGCCATCTTACCATCTTGCAAATATAAGGGAATTGCAGAGATGACCACCCTGACATTGCAAAGCTTGAAAACTAATGCCAGGAGCTGCTTGTTTTTATATTTCATAGAATGTTAGAAAAATGATTTTTCTTACTGGGTGGGAGGAATACTGTGACTCAAATCCAGGGGCACTGTACTACTGAGTTGCATCCGCAGGCCTTTTTATTTTTTATTTTGGGACAGTGTCTTGCTAAGTTCCCCAGGCTGGCCTTGAACCTATGATCCTCCTGCTTCAGCCCCTTGAGTAACTGAGATTACAAGTATGTACCACTGTGTCTGGCAAATTTTTCTTTTTCTTTTTTTTGAGACAGGGTCTCACTATGTAGTCTAGGCTGGCCTCGAACTCACTGGAACCTCCTGCCTCAGCCTCCCAAGTGCTGGGATTACAGGTGTGCACCACCACACCTAGCTAAGCGAATTCTTATTTAAGCAGCTGCTGGTCTGCTTTTCTGTAATTTGCAACCTAAAGCATTCTTACCTGATATTCTAGTAGAGCAAGGATTTGGATTAGGCAGTCTGAAAGTAAAGCCCATGTTCTAATCTAGGCACTACTGTGCACATTTGTGTATCTAACAATCTGGGCTGAACATCTTTGTACACAGTACCACTTCCTTTGCTGCTTTAAGGAGGAAAAGTTGCTTACCTGTCATACTCTCTTGTGTCCAAAACCCAGCAGTGCAAGGGCCTGGAGATATAGCTCAGGGGTAGAACACTCACTTAGCAAGGGCAATACCCTGGCTTCTATCCCCAGCACAGCAAAACCAACCAACCAACCAACCAACTAACCAACCCAACCAACCAACCCACCCACCCACCCATCAACAGTACATATAAAGGAGGAAAAAGGGGAGGCTCAGCAGCAGCACTTATGGCAATTACCAAAGTAATTTAGTATAAAGGACATTCTTTGGGTTAACTCTGAGATACTAAAAATGTTAACCTGACCCAAGATATGGTTACAAGAGTTCCATATCTCCTTGGAGGCATGGTGTTTAGTTCTGATGGCAAAAAGGAAGAGTGCTGAGTGAAACTTTACAAAACAACCCCCCCCCCAAAAAAAACCAAACAAACAAAACCTCTCCTAACCCAGGTCTTCTAAAAAGTAGATACCAAGGTAACATTAAATGGGTAAGAATCACCCCACACCCCCCCCCCCCCCCACACACACGGGAAAGGACCAGGAGAGAAATAGGGAGGGAGCTGGCAAAGGCTAAGAGAGCCCCAAGGCTGTGCCGCCCCGGGTGACCTTCAGTGAGGGACAGAGACGAGGACTGTGGGCGGGCCGTGGTAGGTCCAGCAGGGCTGCAGGCGGTCCTCAGACTTTGGTGGGAGGAGTCAGAGGAGTCCCTTTCTAAAAAGAATCGTCCTGCCTCTGCTGCGCCGCACTCAGTCATTGGCTGGGAGCAGCCAGGGAGGGGTGGCGTCCATGCAGATGCCCGACTCCTACTCAGTAGCTGGGTGCTAGGTACCTTTTGCTAGCTGGAGTTGGTCGTCTGAGGAGCGCCTTCTTTTTCTCGGATGCTGTAAGTTCAACGTGTTTGATTACTTTTTTAAAAAATTTTTGGTTTGGTTTATTGAATCAAGGTCTCGCTATGTAGTTTACGCTGGCCTTGAACCCACTATGTAGCCCAGGCTGCCCTCAAACTCGCAGCGATCCTCCTGTCTCAGCCTCCTGAGTGCTGGGATTACAGGCATGCGCCACCATGCCCAGCTTGATTACCTTTATATGAAGTTCTGGAACTGGCAAAACTGAATCTATGGTACAAGAAAATCGGAAATGTGGTTTCTTGCTGGAGTGGGGCTGGCTGAGGGTAGAGGCTAACCTGAGAGTGTGAAGGGAAACTGGAGCTGGGCACGTGCTCAGTGGTAGAGCGCTTGTGTAGCATATGCTAGGCCCTAGGTTCTGTGCTTAGCACCACAGAAACAACTTTCCTGCTCTATAAGGACTGAGGTTACACAGCAGTAGGCATTTAACAAAACCTTGTGAACTGACAGGGAAGTATTGTTGGTGACCCCCTACCTTGTGTACTGGGGATTGAACCCAGGGCCTTCGCACATCCCCAGCCGTTTTATTTATTTATTTAATTTTTTTTTGGTACCGGGGATCGAACTTGGGACCTTGCACTTGCAAGGCAGGTGCCAGAACTACTGAGCTAAATCCCCAGCCCTAGCAGTTTTATTTTTATTTTTTATTTTGAGACAGTCTTGATAAGTCATTAAATTGCCCAAACTGGGCTCAAACTTGAAATCCTCCTCCCTCAGCCTCATGAGTGCTGGGATTACAGGCGTGCTCCACCACACCTGGTGACAATAGCTTGAACAGTTCTTAGTATATAACTCTATGTCAAAATAAAAAACTGGAAATAAATATTAAACTCCAATGAATGATAAGTAAGCTGATGTACTCCCTGCTTTCAATCCTTGGGCCAGGCAGGGCAGGGGGCAGGGGGGTGGGAGGAAAATGGAAAATAACAGGTATTGGTGAGGATATGTGGTGAAAGAAATCTTTGTATACTATTGGTGGGAATGGAAAATGGTGTCGCCACTATAGAAACTATGATGGTGCCTCAAAAAATTAAAAAATAGAATTAACGTATAATGCAGCCATCCCAGATCTGGGCATACATCTATAGTAAATTGTGTCTTCTCAATGAACTGGGGATATTTCCAATGCCTACCTGCACCTTAAATGGCACAACCATCCTAATTGAAATTGCAATGAAAAATTGCAAACACCTAGAGAATGGTCTAGTTCCCTGGTTAATTGTCTTTCTCCCACCAGAATGTAGACTCCGGCAAAACAAGGATTTTCTATTTTGTTCACTGTTGTATCTTTGCTTGTAAGTCAGTGTTTTTTGCTGAGAATCTATAATGTGTAGGAAGAGTAAGATGTACAGAATTCAGTTACAACCAGAAAAATAAAAATCATCTTTACCCTCCCTCTGCTGCTCTGACAGTGGGGGGTCAAAGAAACTCCTGAATCTTTTCAGCTCTTAATCAAAGCTTTGGCCGGGCCCTGGTATAATCCAGGAACAAAGATGAGCCATCAAGTGCTCAGGCCACAGGTGGGGGCGGAAAGGCACCTTTTTCTTTGCCACTGCCTGCCTCTGGGGCGACAAGTGAATGGGGGCGGAAATTGAGGTCTCAGGAAGGCTCCTAAGTAGGAGTATTAGTATTTTGCATAATAATGGAAACACCAACTCTATTGTGGGAGGAAGGCCTGCATATCAAGGCAATTAAGAAATACGGAAGCAAATACTTCTTATAGATTTAGAATGTGCTGCATCTTAAAAATAATGGGGGGGGGCACAGAGTTGGTTCTCCAGCCCTTCTTAGATGATGGAGACCCTGAAATGACCTTGGGCAGTGCCTAGAAATGGCGACGTCTGCCCTGTGCAGGCCTTGGAGTCACTTTGGAGTGGATCATCCAGGAGGAAGGGTCCTCATGTAAAATTGACCCCTTCTTAACAGGTGACAATGACCCTTGCAAGTAAGGGAGGCTGTCACTGGGCTAGATACAACTTAGTACTGTGTACTTTTAATACAGATTCTTATTTTAAAGGGAAAGGAGAATCAGTTATCTCTCTTTTAAATGCCGAAATGCTTTAACTATAATGAGGGCTTGCTGGGAGAAATGTGTGAATCTGCTTCCGTTGTACACTTCGAACTGAAGTGTTAGGGACTCACTGGCGATGAAAACAGCGGCTTCCGCTCACCATCTACACCGGTGTGTTTCCTTGGCTCTGGGGCCATTTCTTCATCTTCCATTTCCCCCTCTTAGATAAGTAATACCAGTTCTAAAGTTTAGTCCTTTTCTTTTACATCTTGGACCTTTGAATTCTGGTAAGGTTCTCCTTGAGGTTTAACTTTCTTTTCTAGGGAAATGACAGGAAGATTACATTGTTCACAGTGGAAATTGTTAAGGAGGTCTTTTGTCTTTGATGGTCAATTCCAGGTTCCTGTCTTGCTGAGAACCACACTGGTTTTGTTGTTGTTTGGTACTGAGGATTGTACCCTGAGCCTTAGCACTGAGCCACATCACCAGCCTCTTCATTATTATTATTATTTGCTCATTGAGAAATTACTCAGTAAACTTAATTGTAATATTTTTTGGGTTATACTACTTGAAGAATTTCTGCATTGGTAATTTTGCACATTTTTAAGGCCTTTGAAACATTACCCAATTGTTATTTTAAAATTTTTATTAGTACATGTCTGCACTACATAATGATTACTTTCACTGGGGAGCTAGTACATGCACATAATACATCTTAATTCTTTTTTCTTTCCCTTCCCTCCCTTCCCCTTTTTTTCCCCTTCCCTCCATCTCTTGGTCACCTTCCCTTTTGCAAAACCTTTTTATTTTTTATTTTGAGATGAAGTCTTACTAAGTAGGTAGGTTGTCCAGGCTGGGCTCGAATTTGGTGATCCACCTGCCTCAACTGCCTAGAAAGCTGGGATTACAAATGTATACCACCATGTTCAGCTATTTTGCCTGTCATTCTTTTTTTTTTTGGTACTGGGGATCGAACTCGGGTCCTCAGCTTGCGAGGCAGGCGCCAGAACCACTGAGCTAAATCCCTGGCCCCTGTTATTCTTTTTCTTAATTTTTAACTTTTTTCTAGTGCTGGGAATGGAACCCTGGGCCTTGTGCATGTTCCTCTACAGCTCCTGTTTTTGTTTCTTTGGTTTATTTTGGAGGGCGGGTACTGGGGATCGAACTGGGGACCTTGAGCTTGTGAGGCAGGCGGCAGAACCACTGAGCTAAATCCTTGGCCCCTGGTTTTTTAAAAAATTGATTTTTTATTTATTATATTTTATTTCTTGACAGGGCCTCCCTATGTAATCTAGGCCTGCCTGGAACTCACTGTGTAGCCTGGGCTGGCCTCAAATTTATGATCTTTCTGCCTCAGCCTCCTGAGTGTGGGGATTACAGGCATGGGCCATCACTCCCAGCTCACATCTTCTTATTCTTGAGTTTTCAAGTGCGTTGTTTGGAGTACGGGACCAGGATGAGGGGGAGGCAGGAGGCCCTGTCTCCACCCTGCTAGGGTGGTTTAAATATGGTCAGTGTGTGGAGGCCTGGAAATAGAGACCCTCTTGGGCTCCTCCCTGCTCTGAGGACTGTGGAAGAGCTAAAGTCAACACTATCACTGTCTCTCACTAGTGCTGGGGGTGGAGCCCAGAGCCTCTTGCAGGCTAGACCTGTGCTCAGGAGCCACAACACCCTGGCTTGGTGCTGTTCTGACCCAGAGGTATCCAATAAACAAAGTTGACTCTGGAGAAAAGAGTTGCTTCTTGAAGAATGCAGAGTCTGTAAATACTAAGGAGATACTTTCTCTCAGGGATTGTGGCCAACCTCACTCACTCCTGTGGGAAGTGAGTTAGCTCAGAGCATTCATCTCCTAATTAGAAGAGCTAGGCAATAGTCCCTGGGAGAGGAAGGCATGGAGCAACTCCCCCAGGAAGTGCGGTGTCACTTCTCTCCCAAGTGTGCCCTGGGGTGTCATGGGAGTGAGCCTGTCACTTTGGCCTGAGGGGTGGGCACCTGGTGGTTTTGACTTAGGAAACAAAGGCAACTCTCTCTATTGGGAATCTCTGGGCTAAGGAAATACCCAGTGTTAATTAAGAAAGTTAAAAAATATACTCTTGACTTTCAAGTGAGAATTGTAATAGCAATGATAGTAATAATGATAATAACCTTGAAATGCCTCAGTAGAGCTAGTTAAAATGTATGGTTTAGCCATTCTATGGAATTTTGTGCCCAGGCCAGACGTAGTGTCGCATGTCTGTAATCCTAGCACTTGGGAGGCTGAGGCAGAAGGATCGCCACAAGTTTGAGGCCAGCCTGAACCTACATAGCAGACCCTGTCTATAAAAAAAAAAGGGCTGAAGATATAGCTCAGTGGTGCCACCGCCTGCCTTCCAAGCACAAGGTCCTGAGTTCGATCCCTAGTACCAAAAAAAAAAAGAATGAGGCCAGTCTTAATGCAATAACCTGGAAGGATTTCAAGGCATACAGTTGAATGGGAAAGCATGTTGCAAAACAGTATGTGTACTTCAAGGCCCGGGGATGTAGCTCAGTGGCACGGCATGTGCCTGGCAAGCGCAAGATCCTGAATTCAATCCCTAGTACCAAAATACCCCAAAAACATTATGTGTACTTCCATATTTTTGCAAAGCAAAATAACCCCAAATTATGTGTCTATATATTTTAAGTATGTAAAAATTTTTGAGAAGAGACGCACACTTTTTTAAGACAAGGTCTCGCTATGTAGTTTAGGCTGGCCTTAAACTCACTATGTGCCCCAGGCTACCCTCGAAATCACTGGTGATCCTCCTGCCTCAGCCTACTGAGTGCACCACCATGCCAGGTTTAGTTTTGTAAATCTTTTTTTAAAATTAAGTTTATTGGTACAATTTAGATGTACATAATGATCACATTCATCATATGGAATATGTGCCTGTACATGATATATCTTAATTCTTATTTTTTCCCCTTTCCCTCCCCTAGTTTTGTAAA